GGAGGGAACTTAACATCATGAGTCTAAGATTCACCTAGATGAATAAATACTGAGCCACGATAACTGAAAAGAATGAAAATGGTACTAAAGCAGGAATCAAACAGATAGATCAATCAAATAAAAATCAAGGGCCCAACATAGACCAAAGTACCTCTGAGTTTAATACAAGTGAAAGGAAAAGAATAATTCAATAAATTCCAAATAGAGCAGATATGTAAATGGGGAGGGGGGAACAGGATAACAAGAAAACACAGGTATATACATATGTAGTTTGTTTTTTTTGGGTGGGAGGGGGACCTTTTTCAGTGTGAAAGTATACTAGGAGCCACAAATAAGATTAATAAATTTATTTATACATATATATATACACACACATACATATGTATATATATACACACATACACATATATATTTAAATCACAATAAGATTAACAAATTTTAGCTATGCATATATACATATTTAAATTAAAAAATGGAATAAGGCATAAAAAGAATTAAACAGTAGTAATGTCTTTCCAAGCAATGTTTAAGTTTAGTAATAATTTATGAAATCCATCAGTTCAGCAAAGTTTTAAAAATTAATATACCTAGTGCTAGGGAGGTTTTGGAAAACAGACACACATACATATATCTCTTTAGAGGAAATCTGGAAAAATCCACCAAAATTTAAAATATATGTACCATTTGGTCTAGCAACTCAACTTCTAAGAATCTGACTTACAGACACACCCACAGAATGTTCACTGCAGCACTGTTCAGAAATGCTTAAATTATGGAACACTCATATGTCTGCTGTTATTAGTTGCTGTCAAGTCATTCCAGAAAAAAAGACAAATCTATAGGGATTAAGAGAGTCCCTGGGTGGTCCAAACGATTAAACTGCTTGGCTGTTAACCGAAAGGTTGGAGAGATTGGAGTCTACCCAGAGGTGCCTCAGAAGGAAGGCCTGGGTGATATACTTCCAAAAAAAACAAGCCATTGAAAACCCTAAGGAACACAGTTCTACTCTGACACACATGGGGCTGCCATGAGTCAGAGTCCATTTAATGGCAACTGTTTTTTTTTTTATTTTTTATAGGGACTAACAGACATTCAGAAAATTAACAGTGGTTAACTTGGGGAAAGTTGGATTTTTTTTACTTTTTAAAATTCTAGACACTGAGTTTTGTTTTTTTCGTTTAAAAGAAATAATATATTTGTCCCTTGACCTAGGAATTCTATTTCTAGGGGTTTATCCTAAAGAAATAAATGAGAATGTTCACTGCAGCTTTTATTAAAAGAGTTTTACAAAAAGAAAGAAAAAGATTTCAAATATCTGTCCCCCACCCCCCAAAAAAGGCTAAATTATGGTATGTTCATATTTGTTACAGTTAAAAATTCAGCAAATGCACTGAGATGGTACAAAGCCCCAGATATATTAAGAACAAATTGCTAAACAACTCATATTTTATGATAAAAATCTTAAGTACTTGTTAATAGGTATTAAAATTTTAGGGAAAATACATGCATTGTAAATAGCAGCTATGGGAGGCTTTCCCCAGCTACATTATACATTCTGTATTGTTTGAATTTTCTGTAATCAGCATTTATTTTTATAATCACAAGATAATTTTTAAAACTTTCAGTAACCCTACGAGGCAGAACTCTAAACAGCCCTCTGAGAAGAAACCAACACAGAAAAAGCCATGGATCTACAGACAATCTTACACAGAATTTTGGATATCTGCTAAAACTCTAAATACGTACCAAATCTCTTAATTCTACTTAAAGTCAGAATAAATGTTAAACAACCAAGACTTACACATTGTTTTAAAATGGAAAAGGCATGTAAGAAAGACTTCTATTTTTTTGCTTATAAATGGTGGGAGGTGAAGAGGAGAGGATGGATGGCAAAGAGAACAAATTTTATATACTTGTTTGCATTAACACTGTAATTAACATTTAAAATATTTTGAGGTCTTAAATTAGACTACTAGTCAAGGAGTATGATTCCCAAAGTTGTACAAAAGAAGAACCAAAACCACATCAAAGAACCACACTATGCTCACATACTTGCATTCAGGCACTTAAACAAACTCTCTTCAGGCCACAATTCCAATTCTAGGAATATGTTTAAGAAAATATTAAAAATTAAAGTAAAAAATAAACAAAGAAGATGACAATGCCCTGTGACTCAGTTTTTCAGGACAGCTTTCTTTTACAATAGCAACAAATTAGAAACAACCTAAATATTCAACAGAATATGATGGAATATTACACAATTATTAAAAATGTATTAAAAGGGTTTTAACGACACGGGGAAGTACTTAGGTCAAAGTTTAGGAAGACAATAAACCAAAAATCAAACCAAACCCATTGCCATTGAGTTGATTCTGACTCATAGTGACCCTATAAGACAGAGCAGAACTGCACTATAGGGTTTCCAAGGAGCGACTGGTGGATTTGAACTGCTGACCTTTTAGTTAGCAGGTGAGCTCCTAACCACTGCTCCACCAGGGCTCCAAAGTGAAAGTTCTAGCGGGCACCCAGAAGACAATACACACCCACATATGGGCATACCACCATTTCAATTATGCAACTACGCACAGAAAGAAAGATTTGAAGAAAATATTCCAAAATGTTTAATAATGGTTATCATTAAGTAATGGGATAAAGGATGATTTTTTTTCTTCTTTACACTTTTCTGTGTCTTCTGAACTTTCAACAATATATGTATATATAATATATATATATGGCTTTTAAAGTTTTAACCTATATTGGCAGGGCTTACAAACTGCAAATTTATTTTAGGCACTACCATTGTTTAAAATGTCCACTAACTTTTTCACATTCTGCTCTTTTCTTTTAGGTCTAGAAAAAAAATAATAAATAAAGTTCTGACTCCAAAGACTCCAATGGGTAATAAACAGCAAAAGATATTAACACGATCTTAAGCCATAATAACAGAAGTATGCGTGGCTGGAATGAAGAGGGAAAAGAGACTTAACACACCCATCCTGGGCGCAATGTTTAGAAACATGACCCATGAGGAAGAGTTAGCAAACCTGGATACTACTCCTGGTTCTATCACTGACTACCTGTGTTAGTTTTACAATCCTCTTTGAACTGTGAAACTTTGATCTGTAAAATGGAGGCAAAAACTTCCTCTTGGGTCATTCTGAAGACTGAATGATACGGAAGCATGGAGAGCATTTTAGCTCTGTGGTTGGCATACAGACTTATCAAACACTCACTATTACTAATTTTCAGTTCTGGACATCATAATTTAAGACGGGCACTGTGACTGACTGGAATGTATCCAGAAGAGCAACAGACATGTAAAAAGACCCAGAATCATATCATCTGAAAAAAAGTTAAAGCAACTAGGTAGGTTTAGCGTGGATTAAAGTCATAAAGGAGGCAGGATGAATGAATATCTAAAACTCATATGGAAGCAGACTTAATTAGCAAAGATCAGGAAAACAAAGCTTTAAAAATTACGAGGAGGCAGATTTTCAGCTCCATGCAAGAAAGAACAGCATGTTCTAAAATGGAATAGATTATTTTTGTAAATTACTGCAAGTGCTTAAAGAAAGAAAGAAAAAAAAAAACCCTCAGGAAATACTCAAAAGGTCTTCCCTAGCACAGAAAAAGGCACCAGAAATGCCAGCATTCTTTCTTCTCCTCTTCTGTTCTTCATTATAAACTCATAAAATAGTAGCCTGAAGAAGGTAAAATTAAGATATTCTTTAAAAATTAGATTAGACTTAAAAAAATTATTTTATTATTGCTGAAGTTCACATTACTAAGAGTAGTCAAATTTCCTGTGTTCCATGGAGGGTACTATACAAAAAAAACCCCAAGATCCTGGGGTAAAGATTACACAAGTGTCTTTGACGATGAGTTCTCAGAGCCCTAAATATAAGCATGGATTCTGAACACCCAAGAGAAGGATATAATAGGCATCATCTCTCACACTTACTTGGTGGTGGAAAACTGTTAACAACTATTTTAATACTTCAAAGCACAATTTGGGAAATCCTGGTAGAAGCTTTACTCTCAATGTAAGAGACTCCTTAGAAACATTTACCACTGATGGCTCTCTAAGCCCTGCCATGTTCTAGAGCAATGGTTCTTCACCCATTTTTGTCAAAGACCCCACAAAGAATTCAATGCCCCTCTCCAGAAAAGAGCGCTACATCAAAAATTTTACATGTGAATTCCAAGTTCACAGACCCCAGAAAGACCATTCATGGACCCTGCTGAAAATCTCAAAAAGGAGATTTAGTTTACCTTCTCTCTTATGAAGTTATGAAGAAAATAAAGACTTTGAAAATGGCAGTTTAACTTATAGGAATGTATCACATATAAAATTAATCTTGTATGTCATTAGCTGAACAGACAGGACAGAAAAGCTAAGAAATCATACTCTGAAAATACAATTAATATTATTAACAGCTATAGAGTCCCTTTCTCCCTCCCCCCAAAAAAGAAAGGTAGCTCAGAATATTAATCTTAATAAACTTTTAAACACATACAACAAATAAACTGCCAATTCAAAGTTTTACTTCCAGCTAGGCAGGTCTTATATTATAAGGTCTATTTCTAATAATGTACATTTGGCCTTTGTTACCCTTCAGATTAAAAATCTAATGATCTCTTTGTCTTTAGAAATTCATAAATTCCCAGCTGAAAGGAGGTACACACTGCATTATAATTTTCTTTCTACTCTGAGTCTTTCTTCCTAGTTACTTCAGTATTAACTGACAAAGCATTCTGGAAAAAGTGGAAAACTATGAAGCCACAAGGTTAAAAATCTTTAAGTCATTATGACAGGCCACAGTGGAAAAAGAAAACAAAAAAAAACGTACTTTCAAACTCTTCAAATTATTTATTTTAAAAAGAGAAATGAAAGAGAATTTATAAGAAATGAAATATACTTTGGGATTTTTAGCCACAAGTTGCCTTAAAACCTTACTTTAAATAAAAAGGGTGAAAAATAAAGGTGCTCGAAGACTTACGTTTTGCCTCTGAGAGATTCTGATTAGGTGACCAGACCAGCATGCCAAGATTTTCTCTTTCTTGACTGCGTCTTGCCAGTTTAGCTTGGTAGAAATAAAAAAGAAAATTCTTATGTAATTATTATGATTTAACAGATACAATGAGTAATGAGTAACAATACCACTCTGGTCTTTAAGCCTCAGAACATGATGACATCACCCACCCCTTACCTAAACCTGCCTTAATAGGACCCATGCACTTAGCATCAAAGGGTGAGGGGATGGGTGGAGGAGGCTCCCGAATTAGCTGAAACAATTTTACTGCCAAGTCCTTTTCTATTTTACCTTTTTTTACTTAAGAAATAGGTACTACGTGGATTTGCTGTTGTTAGTACTACTGAGTCAGCTTTGATTCACAGTGAGCCTATGTACAACAGAATGAAACGCTGCCCAGTCCTGTGCCATCCTCACAATCGTTGCTATGTTTGAGCCCATTGTTCGCAGCTACTGTGTCAGTCCATCTCGTTGAGGGTATTCCTTTTTTTCGCTGACTCTCTACTTTACCAAGCCTGATGTCCTTCTCCAGGATTGGTCCCTCCTGATAACATGTCCAAAGTTCAGAAGACGCAGTCTCATCATGCTCCCTTCAAAGGAGAATTCTGGCTGTACTTCTTTCAAGACAGATTTGTTCCTTCTTCTGGCAGTCCATGCATATTCAACATTCTTCACCGACACAACTCTAAAGGCATCAATTCTTCAGTATTCCTTATTCACTGTCCAGCTTTCACACGCATATGAGGCAACTGAAAATGCCATCGCTTCAGTCAAGCACACCTTAGTCTTCAAGGTGACATCTTTGCTTTTCAACACTTTAATGAGGTCTTTTGCTAAGCAGATTTGCCCAGTGCTGTGTGTCGTTTGATTTCCTGATTGCTGCTTCCACAGGCAGTGATTGTGGATCCAAGTAAAATGAAATCCTTGACAACTTTAATGTCTTCTCCATTTATCCTGATGTTGCTTATTAGTCCAGTTGTGAGGATTTTTGTTTTCTTTATGTTGATGTGGCATCTATACTGAAGGCTGTAGTCTTTGATCTTCATCAATAAGTGCTTCAAGTCCTCTTCACTTTCAGCAAGCAAGGTTTTGTCGTCTGCATATCGCAGGTTGTTAATGAGTCCTTCTCCCATCCTGATGCTGCGTTCTTCATATAGTCCGGCTTCTCTGACTATCTGCTCAGCATAGAGATTGAATAAGTATGGTGAAAGGATACAACCCTGACGCACACCTTTCCTGATTTTAAACCACGCAGTTTCCCATTGTTCTGTTCTAATGACCGCCTCTTGGTCTATGTACAGGTTCCGCATGAACACAATTAAGTGTTGGGAATTCCCATTCTTCATAATGTTATCCATTTGTTATAATCCACACAGACAAATGCCTTATAGTTATTATTCCTATTTGATAGATGAGGAAACTGAGGAGGTCATTCAGCTAGTGTGAGGTAGAGCCAGGACGGAACCCAGGCCGAGTGGCACCAGTGCCCAAGGGCTTAAGTACTATACCTTTGCAGCCTCTGCTTTCAGATACTGGAGGATATCCAAAAAGGAAGCCACATGTGGCATTGTGCTCAAATAATCTTTTAAAATGTGAATTCAACTTTTAATCCTGTGTAATTCATAGTTCTCACACTTTGAGTCTTTCTTTCCCAGTCTTCCATCATTCTTTTTGAAGAAATGGCCCCAGAGAATTTAATGTGTACTTGGATCACCTCCACCCTTCTCTGCCATAGTAACTTTTTAGTGACTTGACAATAGGAATCCAAAGATCCTTTTAACAACTTTATTTTAAAAATTTAATCTGAAAGGAAACACATTCAAACTCTTAAAAGTCTGTGATAGGAACAAGTAGGCCAAAAGTTTGTGTCAAGTGTTCAGCTGACATGTATAAGCAGATTAACTGCAAGTAAGAATCATATATTACAACAGAGACATTTAAAACTATCTTCAAAAGGTACCAAAAAAGGCTCAACTAGCCATGCCTTTAGACTGGTTAGGCCCAAACTCATTCATTCTAAAGGCATTTTTTTTTTTATTTGATATTCTGGTGCTTTATTTTTTTTCTTTTTGTTATTGTTATAATTAAATGAAGTTTACATTTCAAGTTAGTTTCCCATACAAAATTCTTTTTACATACATTGTTATGAAACCCCAATTGCTCACCCCATTCTGGGGTAGCACACTCCTCCTTTCTGCCCACGATTCCACATAACCATTCAACCAGCTCCTAACTCTCTCTGCTTTCCCATCTCACCTCTGGACAGAAGCTGCCCCTTTGGTCTCCTGTATCTACTTGACTAAGAGGCACACTCTTCACTAGTATCACTTTATGTCCCACAGTCCAGTCCAATCACTGTCTGAAGAGTTGGCCTCAGAAATTGTTTTAGTTCTGGGCTGATAGAGAGTCCAAGGGCCATGCTTTCTGGGACGCCTCCAGTCTCAGTCAGACCATTAAGTCTGGTCTTCTTACTAGAATTTGAGTTCTGCACCCCATCCGTCTACTGCTCCATCAGGGACCCTCTGTTGTGTTCCCTGTCAGGATATTCACTGGTGGTAGCTGGGCACCATCTAGTTCTTCTGCTCTCAGGCTGATGAAGTCTCTGGTTTATGTGCCCCTTTCTGTCTCTTGGGCTACTACTTTCCTTGTGTCTTTGGTGTTCTTTGTTCTCCTTTACTCCAAGTGGTTGGGACCAATTGATCCATCTTAGATGGCTGCTTGCAAGCTTTTAAGACCCCAGCCGCCACTCAACAAAGTAGGATGCAGAACATCTTCTTAAGCTTTGTTATGCCAATTGACCTAGATGTCCCCTGAAGGCATGGTCCCCAGGCCCCCCATCGCTGCTACTCTGTCTCTCAAGGTATTTGATAGCATTCAGGAAACTTCTTAGCTTTGGTTTAGTCCAGTTGTGCTGACATCCCCTGTAGTGTGTGCTGGCCTTCCCTTCACGTAAGATAATTCTTATCTACTAGCTAGTTAGTAAATAACCCTCACCCTCCCTCCCCACCCTCATAACCATCAAAGAAGGTTTTCTTCTGTGTTTAAACCTTTTCTTGAGTTATTATAATAGTGGTCTTATACAGTATTTGTCCTTCTGTGACTGACTAAATTCACTCAGCATAAGTTCCAGCTTCCACCATGTTATATGATGTTTCACAGCTTCATCGTGTTCTTTATCGTTGCGTAATATTCCATTGTGTGGATATACCATAATTTGTTTATTCGTTCGTCCATTGATGGGCACCTAGGTTGCTTCCATCTTTTTGCTATTGTGAACAGTGCTGCAATGAACATAGGTGTGCATATCTCTATTCATGTGATGGCTCTTGCTTCTCTAGGATATAGTCCAAGGAGTGGGACAGGTGGATCGTATGGAACTTCTATTGCGAGCTTTTTAAGGAAGCGCCAAATCAATTTCCAAAGTGTTTGTACAATTTTACATTCCCACCAACAGTGTGTAAGTGTTCCAGTCTCTCCACAACCTCTCCAGCATTTATTATTTTGTGTTTTTTGGATCAGTGCTAGCCTTGTTGGGGTGAGATGATATCTCATTGTAGTTTTGATCTGCATTTCTCTAGTGGCTAATGATCGTGAGCATTTCTTCATGCGTCTGTTAGCCACCTGAATATCTTCTTTGGTGAAGTGCCTGTTCATATCCTTTGCCCATTTTTTAATTGGGTTATTTGTCTTTTTGTTGTTGAGGTTTTGCAGTATCTTATAGATTTTAGAGATTAGACGCCGATCGGATTTGTCATAGCCAAAAATTTTTTCCCAGTCTGTAGGTTGTCTTTTGACTCTTTTGGTGAAGTCTCTAAAGGCATTTTTAGTCTTTTTTTTTTTTTTTTAAATAAAGTCCTCTAAAAATGTGAAAGTTATACACTATGAATAGGCAAGATTAAAAGATGAACTTACGAGGTGGGTGGAACAGGCTATAAAGGATGGGGAGAAAATAATACAACCAAAGGGACAGAGGTTATCATTTTTGAGTATCCTTTTTAATACAGTTAATAGTAACAATGTTGCATATAATCCAAAAAATTTTTAAAAATCAACAAGGATGTGGGGACAGGAGAACCAAATGGGATTTTAAACAAAAAAAAGTAAGAGCTTTGCTCTATTTCAAAAGAAAAACCGAAAGTCAAGAAAGAAACAAAAGGAATCCATCCACATTAGAAAGGTAGAATTAAAGCTGTCTTTATTCACAGACCACATGATCACCTGTGTAGAAAATCCTACAGATTCTACAAACACCTCTGAAAATAAATGAGTTTTAAAAGGTTGCCGGAAACAATATCGGTATTTAAAAAATGACTTCTGTTTCTATATGCTAGTAACTTAACAATCAGAAATCAAAATTGAAAAATATCACAAATAAACATGAAAAACTTAGGGACAGGCCAGATAAAAGATATGTAAAACCTGTAATTGAAAACTACAAAACACTGCTGAGAGAAACTAATAATCTAAGTAAATAGAGAGATTGTACCATATATATAGATCAAAAGACTAAACATTATTATGATGACAATTCTCCCCAAATTGCTCTCCAGATTCAACACAATACCAGTTAAAAATTCCAGTGCACTTCATTGTACAAACAGACAAAGTGGTTCTAAAATTCATATGGAAATGGAAAGTACCTAAAATAGCCAAAACAACTTTGAAAAAGAACAAAGAGGACTTTCACTCTCTGATTGAAGACTCATTACAAAGATTTAGTAAGACAGTGCTGTACTGGCATAAAGAAAGAGAACTAGATAAGTGGAACAGAATAGAGTTCAAAAATAGAACCACACATATAAGACCAATTCATTTTCTACAAAGGTACAAAGGTAAAATTCAATGAAGAAACATAATATTTTCAACAAATCATGCTGGAACAAATGCAAAAAAATTTAACTTGGATCCATACCTTGTACAATATACAAAAATTAACACAAAATGGATCACAGACCTAAATGTAAAACCAAAAATCACAAAACTTCTAGAAAACGTAAGAGAAAAAATTTTTGACCTTGGGTTAGAAAAAGAGATGTTAGATACAACATCAA